TGTATGAAATATTTATTTATTTATTGGAAAGGCAGATTTACAGAAAGATCTTCCGTCTGCTGGTTTATTCCCCAAGTGGCCACAATCAGTGGCTGGTGCTGCGCTGATCTGCAGCCGGGAGTCAGGAGTTTTTTCCGGCACCCCACATAGGAGCAGGGTCCCAAGGCTTTGGGCCATCCTCTACTGCTTTCTCAGGTGACAAGGAGGAACTGGATGAGCAGCGTAACAGCCAGGACGTGAGCTGACACCCAAATGGGATCTCTGCGCTTAACAGGCAAGGGAGGGGGGATCAGCCAATTGAGTCACTGTGCAGGGCCCCACCTGTTATCTATCAGAATTCAACAGGTGGAGTCCTATGGGTCAATGCGAATGTGTGATGGATGCAAAGAAAATGCTCCAAGTTTATTTTAATTCTGTGCTGGGGTCTGTGCAGTGGGTGTGGAGGACATGAAGGTGTGAAGAGAACTGTTCCATTGCAGGCAGGGCTGCAAGGAATTTCCTGCTGCATGGCAGGGCCCTGTGGATGTCTCTGCAACCACCTGAAGGCAGTTCCACCTCCCTTTGCATGGACACTGGACCACCCCGCTGAGAATTCTGTAATCTATTCAGGCATTGTTTGTTTCTGCGGAGTTGGTCTTTACTATCAATGTGAGCTTGGAAGTTGATGTTGCTGATAACACCTTGCAAAAGGGCCTTTTACAATTCATGCTGTCTCTGTCTCTGCTGCCCACATTGACCATCCTTGATCTTTAGGTCCCTCCTTCTGTGATACATTTCCTCCCTTAACTGATTCAAGATTAAGTTGTAGAATGAGGATTGTAGTAGGAATGTATTATTGATTGATATGCACAGTCTATTGAGAACTTCCTGACCACAGGGTCAGGATGGATAACATCCTGCTTTAAGGTGAAACAAACAGCAGAATTATCCTTGGAAACACCCACTTGACCATGATGTAAAAAGTCTGTGCCAGAGCTTGTGACTGCTTCTGTATAAATAAAGGGGACAGCTTTCTTGCATTGTCCATTATGATCATGAAATTGTAGTGGTCCATTTCTTTTCTCTCTATGCCTACTCCACACACCCTTCTCAAGTTCCGAACTCAGCTGGAGCTGGACTCTGGCAATTCTGATTCTATTTTAATTTTTCCACGGTGATGGGAAGACATGCTGCTGTTACGTCATACACTGAGTCAGTGCTATGTGAAGAGGGGAATTACGGCTCAGATTCAATCTGCTTGCCATTAAACAGCTCAGAACAGAGGAACAGCCCCGTGGGAAATACTGAGTTCAGAGGAGGTCTGTGTGCACTCATTCATCTCACAAGAAACCCAAGTGCTCCTGGCTGTCTCCCTCCTGAGTGTGACAGTGAACTTCCTCCTTCACCCCACCAGCTCCCCAGATCCTCAAACAAAAGTGGTAGCAGATATTTATTTTCATTGTTAAGGCAGATTCACAGAAAGAGACAGAAAGATCTTCCATCTGATGGTTCACTCCCCAAATAGCCACAATGGCCAAAGCTGAGCTGATCCGAAGCCAGGAGCTTCTTCTGCATTTCCCATGTGTGTGCGGGATCCCAAGGCTTTGGGCTATCCTCCACTGCTATCCCAGGCCACAAGCAGGGGACTGGATGGGAAGTGGAGCAGCTAGGACTAACCAGCAACCAGCTGGCTCTTATAGGTGGAGAATTACCCAACTAAACCATTACACTGGCCTCGGTGCTGATTCTTAAAAGACAGTAACATTGGGTTTTGTTTCTTTTTGGAGCTGAGAAGAGGGGAGTTTGTGGGAAGGCCCATGATAGAGATGGCATGGGATTAAAGGGCAGAGCTGTGTTAGCTGGGTCCATGCAGTCTCCCATCACCCAGCAGCAGTAGCGGCCTTGGCCTTGGCCATGAAAGAACAGAACAAAACTGGGTCCAGGGCGCAGCCTCCAGGTCAGGTCAGGAACCCTGTGGGGAGGAAGACAAAGTGAGCCTGGGCTGCTGACACTTCTCCCCTAAATCCCAGGAGAGAAAACCTGCAGTGAGAGACTGAGTCTTAACTTGATAGAAAGAAAAGTTCTTCCTGTGCTGGCATTGTGGTGCTGCAGGTTAAGACACTGCCATGCTGGATTGCTATTAGAGTGCTGGTTAGAGCGCCAGCTGCTGTGCTCTGCTGCCAGCCCACCTCCCTGATAGTGCGTCTGTGAAGGCAGCAGAAGGCCCTGCCACCCACGTGGAGTTCAGGCTTCAGCTTGGCTCAGCCCCAGTGGTCGCAGCCACTTGGTGGGTAAACCTAAGGAAAGAAGATTTTTCTCTCTCTCTTTCTCTCTCTCTGTCTCTCTTTGTCACTGTGTCTTTCAAATAAATAATGTGGGCTTCATTCCTCCTTGGAGTAAAGGAGTGTTTTTCCCCAGAGCCACCAAAGGACCCAGCTGGAAGGTGAGGTTCAGGGCCCAGGGTCCCAGCACAGAGCAGCATCTACAGATGCAGCCTCCGCAGCTTGGCCCCGCAGCAAGGAGGAGTGTTACCTGGTTACCGGGATCCTCGCTGAACTGCAATGAAAAGGAGAAAGGAAGATATTGAAGCCACTTTATAGGGACATCACTGCTCCACCCGACCCTGTATCTCCCACTGCCTGTCATCGCACAGTCCCCTGAGTGACTCTGGGTGGTACAGACTGTGTGATCAATTGTGCCAAGGACACGGCCTGGGGACTCCTCCCCTTCCTCCACCATTGGCCATGGCCACCAGAACTCTGCATTGGTTAACATGGAAGATGGGTGAGGCAGCCAAGCCTTGGTCCCCTCTTGGGCTGGCTTACCTTTCTTGCTCTTCCTGTGCATGAAGACACCCACTGCGAGGAAGACGAGCCCCAGCACCAAGCCCCCGACTCCAGTGAGCATCTTGCTCCGGGCCAAGTCAGACTGTGCCTCTGCAAGAGTGGAGTCCAGGGTGAGCCTTGCCCCTCCCCACTGTGGCCTTGCTCAGGTCCTGCCCGAGTTCCCAGAGGGACATCTTGGGGAAGGACCTCTAGGGACGGTGTTGGGGTGCAGAGGTGAAGACACCACTTGAGATACCCACATTCTATCATAGGGTTCTGGGTCTGTTTCCAATGTGGCTTCCCACTAAGGCACATCTTGAGGGTGACAGTGATGGTTCAAGTACTTGGGTCCCTGCCACCCACACAGGAGAACATGAATAGTTCCTGGCTCAGTTCAACCAAAGTCAGCGGGCATTTTCAGACATTTGGGAGGAGTGAACCAGTGGGTAGGAGATCTCTGTTTTGATCTCTCTTTCTTCCCAATACTAATTAAAACAAACAAAAACAGGAAAGACCTGTTAGAGAAAAACAAAGAGGATTACCAGTTCTGGATCTTAGGCTTAGCAAAAAGGGGACAAATGCCAATTCTGCCAGCTGCCTTTCAAAGCAATGCCAAATAGGCTAAAAACTGAAGGAACTGGGTCCAGTGTGGCAAGCTAATTCTCAGCACTATGTGGGTGCGGTTCATGTTCTGGCTCCACTTCCAATCCAGCTTCCTGCTAACGTGCCTGGGAAGGCAGTGGAAGATGACCCAATGCCCTGTGTGGGAGACCTGGAAGAAACTCCTGGCTCCTAGGTATGGCTATTCATGGCCAATTGGAGAGTGAACCAGTAGCTGGGAGATCTCTTTGTCTCTGCAAAAAAAAAAAAATTATACATAAAAAAGAAAAAAGCTGAAGGAAGAGAACAGTTGCTACATATGAGGGCAATCCAGGAAAATTTTCTGGGATTTTCTGACAAAAGGGGAACAACCAAATCCTCAGGATTCCCCCCACACTGGGGACAGGTGAGTCTCCATTGCCCTGGGCTCAGGATTGGCCTCAGAACTTGTACAGGGAAGCTACAGATCTGGGTATACCTTAGTGCATACCCCCATATGCCACGAGCACCTGCTCTTCAGAATGCCATTGAAAGTCACTCACTCCAGTCCACCATGATGGGGCTGTCCAGGCTGGGGTGCTCCACGTGGCAGGTGTACACGTCCCCCGCACGAGGGTTCATCTCCAGCATCACCAGGATCTGGAAGGTCCAGTCCCCATTCCGGATCAGGTTGGTGGACACGACCCCGTCGGTTTCCTCCTGTCCGTTCAGGAACCACCGGACTTGAAGGTCTCCTGGGTAGAAATCTGTCACGTGGCAGACGAGCAGGTGTTGGTGCTGCGAGGACCCCTTCTTGGAGGGGGAGACGTTCACTTTGGGCTGGACTGGGGGTAGGGGACAGTAAAGGAATGAGATGTGGGATTGTTATTACCTAGACCTTTTCACTAGGAAGTGCCTTCACATGCTTAAGATGCATCATAAGAAGGAGCGTGGGAAAGGGATCAGTGGAAAGCACCAGAGCTCCAAGTGGAACGGACATGACCCTGAGCCACACTGCAAAGCCTGGGAGTGCTGGGGCAAGAGCAGCACTCCGTGAAACCTTCCCTCTGAGCTTCCAGTGACTTCTTGACTGTTTCTGCATCTGTGAAATCTTTCCCCCTCTCTCTCCTTTTGCTCTATGTTGATGTGAAGGATGCAAGTTCACTCAAACCCTTTCGTGACCTTCATCTGTAACAGGCAATGGCGTTTTCTCAGTCTGTCTTTCTAATGATTTTATAGCATCCAGCAAGTATGGTGCTCACTGATTTTAAGACAAGCTACATATTTTATGGCTTCCCTACCTTTCAAAACTTTACTATTTTCATGTTTACAGTAACAACCCCAAACCTGGTCTGCTGAGCCTCCACCTGCTCGATTAGCTGGAGTTTCAGAGCGTTCCTCGGTCCCTCCTCTGCAGGATCCCTTCTGGCTTGTTGGGCGTGCCCCCTGCAGGGAGCAGGTGCCTTCTGCACCTCTGTTTGCTGTCAGTTCCCCTCTTGCTGTCCACTTCCTGTGGTCTCCCCACACTTCCTGCAGTGCCCACTTTGGCTCTCTCCTCTGGGGAGGCCAAACGACCCACTTGTGTCTAGAGGAACACCTGTTTGGAGGAATTTCCCAAGTGGCTGTGCCTTAATAACTTGGCTCTGTCATTCCCCTGTCCCTCTTCCCGGAGAATGGTGGACCTGGGTTGGTGAAGGTGTGTTTCTGAGCCACCTTTTCCTTAGTGACCTTTTGTCATGCAGGTTCATCCATTCCCAGCCTCGTCTACCTGAGGTGATCTGCTTTCAGGGACACCTTTTTACCTCAGTGACTTTGGTAAATTCACACTGTCAGGCAGTTCAGCTCCTGTCTGTGTGTCAGTTGTGAATCAGATTCAGTTTCTCCTCCTTATGGCTCCTAGGCCTCATGCAAACAAGAGGATGTGCCTGGAGGTCTATTTTAAGCCCCAGAACTTTCCATGCTGACACCTGTCTGCAGCACACACTTGGCCTCCAGGGGGCGCTGGCGCCACGTCTAGGGATGCCAGCTCAAAACACGCTTCACAAAGGCCGGAGATTACTAAGCGCTGCCTTGTTGAAAGTCCACAAACATCCACTCATTCACCTCTGGAATCCTGTAGGGTCTCTACACGGGAATTTTCACAGCTCTCGCTCTCCCTTTCCTATGGTAAGTCATGCCCTAATGGTCAATCCCTATACAACCGTAACATTGTTTTGTTCCATTTCCAGCCCCCTTCCCTTCACATTTCACACCTTCTGTAAACACAGTGCTGATCTTATCATTTGCTTCAAAACCAACCCCAAACTAAAACCTGCATGGTCTGGTGACACTTTACTGGTCACACAGGGGGCTGACAAGAGTGTATGTAGACTCCGGAGTGGCCCACCTATGGAGTATAACTCTCTGGGCAGTGATTCTGGAGGGATTTGTGCCTTAGAACCAGTCCTGGGGCCGGTGCTGTGGCCTTGTGGGTTCCCATGGATGCTGGTTTGAGTGCAGGCAGCTCCACTTTCCAATCCAGCTCCCTGCTAATGAACCTGGAAAAGCAGCAGAACATGACTCAAGTCCTTGCTGGTGCACACATGTGGGAGATCTGGAAGAAGCTTCTGGCTCCTGACTCCAGACCAGTTCCGCTCCAGCTGTTGAGGCCATCTGGGGTGCGAAAGAGCAGACAAAAGATCCCTGTCTCTGGCTCTCTCTCACACCATAACACTGCCTTTCAAAAGAATTCTTGGTTTATTTTTTTCCAAAAAGGTCTTCATGAGATTCTTTTCAGCAAAGCCAGCTGGAGACCCCACTGGTCTGGCAGATCAGCCCAGCGGGCATCCAGGGCTTTCTGGGATGGGGGTCTCTGCTTGTGCTGAAGGCCTGCCTTGGGTCCATTCCTGTTAGTCCCTTCTTAGCTTCCTACCCTGTACATGCTGTCAGGGCCAGCTCTTCCCGCCCATCCTCTAACTCCTCTGACTCTGCCCACGTCTCCCCTCTCCTTCCTTCACCCTTGGACCTCCTGATAGAACAGCAGATTCAGCTCCCACTCCCCACAACAGCCGCGCAGTGTCCAAGGCCAGCTGTGTATCACCTGCACGAGGGGCCTAACTGGGCCTTACCCGCCCCCTCTTTCCAGCCCAAGCAGTCAGCTTCTGCTCTCCCTCTCCCTGGTTGCCATGCCACACGGCAGCCTGTCTGCCTATCACACAAGTCCCCACCCAGGGTCTGCTGTGCCTCCATCACCCCTTCTGCTCTGCTTCCAGGAGCGTCTCTGCCAGTTCTCCTCTCTCTCCCATTCTCTCTCAGCAGCATCTTGCTCCTCAGTGTCCTTTCCATCACACCCTGAATCCAGGTCCTGGGGGAGCTCACCCCGGCTACCCTACTGCTGCACACCCTGCATGACCACCCTCACTCCCTGAGATACCCCAAATGGCCGCAATCGAGGAGCTGAGTTGATTGGAAGCCAGGATCCAGGAGCCTCCTCCAGGTTTCCCACGCAAGTACAGGGTCTCAAGGCTTTGTGACATCCTCTCTTGCTCTCCCAGGCCACAATTAGGGAGCGAGATGGGAAGTGGAGCAGTTAGGACACGAACCTGCATCGGTAGGGGATGTTGTCATTGCAGGTAGCTACTGATAGGCGCTGGCTGCCGCAATTTATTTTTGTTGTTATTTTGTAGATGGGGGAGGTATCTGCTGCCCTTCATTGTCCACCCTCCACTCTTGTAAACCCCGTGTATGTGTGTGGGGCACCCCTCTCCCCGCCTCCCGAGCAGCCGGTTCAGGTCCTCGGCCTCGCCCTTCTGGACCCGCACCGCCTCCACCCGGCCCTAGCCGCCAAGCACCCTTCCTGCCCCTGAGACTGTCCTGTCGGTCCGGCCAGCCTGGCTGGCCCCACAGCTGCCCTCCCAGGCCCGCAGCCTTACCTCGGCGCTTCAGGGTGAAACCCTCGTCTAACTCGTAGTTGTATCTGCACACGGTGTCCACCTGGGCCCGCCACTCCTCCAGGTGTTGCTTGTTCCATCTCTCAGCGCTTGGCCGGCCGAGCTCGGTGATGGCGCGGAACTCCCCGACCGCGCTGTCGAAGCGCACGTACTCCTCCCTGTTGTAGACGTATCTGTCCACCAGGCGCTGCGTCCCGTTCAAGGCGTAGCATTCAAATCGTCTCTGCCACACGTAGTTCTCTGCGGGGATAGAGGCGCCGCTGAACCGGTACCGCCCGCATCCCGAGATCCCACAGCCCAATGCATCCGGCTCAGGTTTGCAGCTTGAAGCCCCGAACGCCCGTGCCTTCCAGACTGTGCCGGGTCTCTCTCCATGCCCCTGCCTCCTCCGCATGGAAGAGAGAGAGAGAGAGAGAGAGAGAGAGAGAGAGAGAGAGAGAGAGAGAGAGAGAGAGAGAGAGAGAGAGAGAGAGCAGGGCTGCTGAGGAGGAGAGAGAAATCGGGAGAGAGAGGAGGGAGAGGGGAGGGTTGCTGGGGAGGAGCAGGCAGGGCCTGGCGGTGGGCAGTGCTGATCCCCCACTACTGCTGCCGTTATGATGGTCTGAGTCAGGGGTTCATAGGCAGAGTTCAGTCCTAACTTGACCTTCACTGTACAGGGCCAGTGCTGAGAGAGATAGCCTGTCATGGCCCCACGTGCCCTTCCTCCTCTACAGCAGCTCTTGGTCCCAGCCCCTGAACCCCACCCCTTGGCACCAAGCCCCCCTGGGCCCAGATCCCTTCTCCCTGCGACAGCCACCAACCCCCTGCAGCTGTAATTTTGATCTGTTCGTCCCTGTTCCTCCTCTTCATTTATGAATAAGGGAACATTTTTCATTCTAAAAAAATAATTTTGAAAAAAATTTTGATGACACTTAAATTTTTAGATAGTATTTTCTGCAAAACAGGCATAGGTGAACCGGGTTGTTTGGTGTGTGTTTAAAGCATTCATTTTTGTGCGATGAAAAATTACACTGTGCAGCTCTTGAGCACTGATCTGATCTAAGTGAACTTACGATTCACCGAGAACAGTGTTAAACTGACATGTTGTAAGGTATGGGGTACAGGGTGACACTTCAATACATGGACACAAGCTGGAATGATCCAATCGGGGTAAATATGTATCCATCATCTCAAACATTCTTCATTAGTTTTATATTGAGAGTGTTCAAAACCTACAAGCTATTTTGAAATATAAAATTAATTGTTGTTGATTGTAGCTCCTGAATATTAGAAATTGTTCTTTGTATCCAACTGCAACCCTGAATCTTACAGAACTTAAAAAAAAAAAAAAGAAAAGAAAAGAAAAGAAAAAATTACAGGGCTGGTGCCATGACATAGTAGGCTAAGCCTCTGTCTGAAATGCCAGCATCTCATATGGGCATTAGTTCAAATTCTAGCTGCTCCACTTCTGATCCAGCTCCCTACTAACGGGCTGGGAAAATAGCAGAGGCTGGCTCAAATCCTTAGGGTGCTGCACCTTCGTGGGACACTGGGAAGAAGCTCCTGGTTCCTGGCTTCGGATGGACCCAGCTCCAACTGTTGCAGCCAGCTGGGGGAATGAACCAGTGGATAGAGGATCTCTCGATCTCTTTCTCTCTCTTTCTCTGTCTCTCTCTGTAACTCTACCTTTCAAATAAAATATTTTTTTTAAATGAAAGAGGATATAATGATGAGAAGATGGTATAAAAAAGAATCATATTACACATGTGGGTTCAAGTTTCCACACTACAATTTATTACCATGTCATTCCAGACAAACACACAGAAGACCAAAAAGCACTCTAAGTCTGTTCCTGAAAGGTAAGATCTTAAACAATACCGCTTACCTGGAAGAACTCTGTGGGGACAGAGTGAGTCAACATGTGTGAACTCTGCAGCCTTTGCCTGGCTCAGCTCACTGCAAGTTGGTCCCTTCTAAAGACCTTTATATGTAGAAGGGGCCCTTTCAGGCCACCTGTCACTGGGAATCAGGGGCAGGTGCCCTGGGGAGCAGTCTCTTTCTGTTCTGTCTTGTCACCTCTTCTCAGCTTAGTGATTTTACCTGGGATAGTGACAGGACAGAGGAGTAAGTCATAAAGACTCGGGTGAACATGAGCTTCGGTAAGGACCCAGCCACAAGAGTGTGGTCAAAACCCCTGCGTGGAAACAGTGATCAAGAATACTGACAGAGTCCAGAGGACTCTATTTCCATAGTCTGATTGGTCTGAGTCCCCTCTTCACCTCAAGTCACGCTCACTAGTAGTTATCTCCACTAACATTACTTTCCCCGGACATGTCTAAGGCAAAGCCTGCACTGCCACTGCTGGTGAGCAAAGAGCAGGAGAGCCCAGTTCTCTCACAGGAAAAGAAGGACTGTGGGCAATGACAGAACCTAGCACTGACCTTCTCAGAAAGTGGCTCCTTAAAGGAAAGGCATCTAGGACTTGTTCTGCAAGTCAGATCCTGGGGGAGTAGCTGCTTGGCTCTTACCTGGAGTGGCCCTGCCCTGGGCTGTGGGACTGAGCAGCACCATCAATAACATGGGGAGCGATGTAAAACTCAGGGGCCTGCAGGACCTCATGGAGCTGGAGAAAGATGGTGAGATGGAGAAAGGAGCAGCTGGTGAATGTAGTGCCCATCTGAAGTATCAGAGTGGGTA